TTAGGAGTAGGGTAGGGGCCCTTATAGACTCAGGGGCTACCCGTAGTTATATCAGCCGTAGGGCGCTGAAGAAGCTGAGGCTAGGACTAAAGGTCCAGAAGTTAATAGACCCTATAGTCAGTGTTCTCGCAGACAACCGCACGATGCGCGTTGAGGACTATGTAGAGGGAGTCCAGGCGTACTTTCGCCTAGAGAAGGATGGGAAGATGGAGAAAGTTCTCCATTCCCCGACTCTCCTCGTACAAGATGACCTTCCTTTCGATGTAGTGTTAGAAATGGATTGGGGAGAGGCAGCGGGGGCCACACTCCATCTGAGAGAGCATGAGTGTAGGCTCCCTAGTCTGTCAGGTAAAGTGAAGACTGCTCGCCTGTTCCATGCGTCCGGTGTAGATAACACCTTGGCGCATTGCTGTCTCAGTGCTCCCGCGTTCGCGCGATTAGTAAGAAAGGAGCAGTTAGAGGAACATGTCTTTGTGGTGTATGTTAGACCTGTCACTGAGGGTCAGAAAAAGGATAGTTCCACAGACCCAACAATTGCCAAGCTGCTGGGAGAGTTCAAAGATTTGACTGAGTCGCCGACAGGAGTAGTGCCGCGACCCATCCAGCAGAGGATAGAGATAGAGCCTGGCAGTAGAACTCCTAAGGGTGCAGTCTACAGGATTTCCCCTAGAGAGTTAGAGGAGCTTCACAAGCAGTTAGATGAACTCCTTGAGAAAGGTTGGATCAGGCCCAGTTCATCTCCTTTCGGAGCACCCGTTTTGTTTGTTCCCAAGAAGGAAGGAGAACTTCGTATGTGTATAGACTATAGGGGTTTGAGCGCGATCATAGTAAAGAACGCTGAGCCACTGCCCAGGATAGATGATCTTTTAGATCGGGTACAGGGTTGTAAGTATTTCTCTAAGATAGACTTAAAGTCCGGATACCATCAGATAGAGGTTCATCCTGATGATCAGTACAAGACTGCGTTCCGGACTAGATATGGGCATTATGAGTTTATAATCATGCCCTTTGGACTAACCAACGCGCCAACTACTTTTCAACGTTGTATGAATGACCTGTTTAGACCGTGGTTAGATAAATTTGTAGTAGTCTACTTAGATGATATCCTAGTCTTTAGTAAGACTCTTCAGGAGCACCAGGATCATCTGAGGCAGGTCTTGGGGAAGCTTAGAGAGGCTAACTTCAAGATCAATGAGAAGAAGTGCGAGTGGGTCAAGACGCAAGTCCTGTACTTGGGCCACGTATTAGACGGAGATGGCATTAAGCCCGAGGACAGCAAGATAGCGGCGATTAAAGACTGGCCAACGCCCCGCACATTGACAGAGTTGCGGTCGTTCCTAGGCTTAGCTAACTACTATAGGAAGTTCGTAAGGAACTTCTCTATTATCGCCGCTCCCTTGCGCAGGTTGCTGAAGAAAGAGGCAATCTGGCAATGGGACAAAGACTGTACGTCTGCGCTCAAGAAGTTAAAGCGCGCGTTAATAGAATATCGTGTCCTCAAAGTAGCAGATCCGTCCTTGCCATTTGTCGTTACCACGGACGCAAGTCAGTATGGGATAGGCGCCGTGTTGCAGCAAGACGACGGCAATGGCTATAGACCCGTAGAGTTCATGTCCGCGAGGATGCCTTGTGAGAAGGTCGCTACCTCCACGTACGAGAGAGAACTCTACGCTCTCAGGCAGGCTTTAGACCATTGGAAGCACTATCTGCTTGGGAGGCACTTCAAAGTGTATTCAGACCACGAAACGCTTAGATGGTTAAAGACTCAGGCCAAGATGACACCTAAGTTGACTAGGTGGGCCGCAGAGATAGACCAATTCCACTTTGAGCTCAAGCCAGTGAAGGGCAAGTACAACGTAGTTGCGGATGCTTTGAGTAGGAGATCAGACTACTTTGGAGTTGTACTACACTATCTGGATATAGGGAGAGACCTGCAGGGGAAAGTGAGGCAAGCATATGCGCAGGACGCTATCTATAGCGACCTCCTAAAAAGAGTTAATGAGGCCCCAGAGACTGAACCAGATTACCGCACTACAGACGGGTTGTTGTTTGAGAAGACTAATGTGTTTGACCGCCTGTGCGTTCCCAACAGCGAAGAGATCCGCAGTTTGGTTTTAGGGGAATGCCACGATATGGAAGGGCATTTCGGTTGGCAAAAGACATTAGCCAACCTGATGCGTGCGTATACCTGGCCAGGGATGAAGAATGACTGCATAGAGTATGTCCGCAGTTGTAAAGTGTGCCAGAGAAATAAGTCTACTACAAGCGCGCCCTTAGGTCTTCTCAGGCCCTTGCCTATTCCGGATCAGCCGGGAGACTCAGTGTCGATAGACTTCATGGACACGCAAGTCAARAGTAGACATGGTAAGAGCCAAGTCATGGTCATAGTCGACCGTTTTAGTAAGTATGCAGTTTTTGTTCC